TCGGTTCTCGCGGCGTAAACAAATTCAAAGGCTATCATAGCTCGAGTCGCATTGGTGCCGTTTGCGAACTCGACCTCGATCGCGCCATCTCTCAGCTGATCACAGTGGGTGACTTTTCCGAACATGTCGCATCCGTTTCGGCGCTGAAACGGTGAAAGCGATGCCAGGCTCCTCACATCACTCCGGAAGACAAAAACGCGTGGGGCAGGAAGAACCGACTCCTCGCTGCGCCCTAAGTTCATCGCAGTCCGTCCCCCTCTCGGGGGGTGGGTGTTTTGGGGGTTTGTGGATACCATGCAGTATTATTGTCAATTTCGGCACCGGGGCTCCCCACCCACCTCGGAGTCCAACGGGGGGATGGCCCACTCACCCAGGGGGTGGTAGTGCCGCCAGGGATACCTCGGTGCTATACGGGGCGAACGATGCCTCCCACACGGTCAGGTGTAACCGGCTAGACCCCCCCCCCCCCCCCCGTTCTGACCGTCGTTCAGCGCCGCCGCCCCTTGACCCCTTAAGCCGCCTGCAGCCAGGCGCTCCAAGCGGAGAACCGCACGGAGCACCCAGCCGCAGCGCGGGCGACAAGCCGCTAGACCCGTGTGGGGCCCCACGGGCCCCCACGCCCCCGGATATCCTGGCCAAAGTGCGATGACTTGGACACATGCCGTGACTGACACGCACGACGCGCCCCTCAGCCACCAAGATCCGATCAACCCGTGGACGCGGACGAGGAGGCACGGCGACCCCGATAAAACGAGGATTAGGAGTGACGAGTGGGCTGGATGCGGGAAAGCGGGTAATGGGAGGGGTGTGGGCGGGACAAGGAGCGGGAGCCCACGTACGGGCAGGTTCGCTACGCCCTGAGAAGAACAGCTTGCGCTGTCCACCCGTTACCGGAGCTGTTACCCGAGGGGGCGCTAGTCCCCTAAAGCGGCCAAAGCCGGTGCCCCTGCGGGGGCTCCCACGGGAGAAATCTCCCTGGACTCCCCGCTCACCTCCATGGAAGTAATGCATATAATTTGCCTTGATTTTTCCAATGGACGTGTTGTGTTATGTTTGCTACGCCCTGATTGCTACACTAATTTGTTAAGATGCTTCCGTAATACATGCCACGAAGGCTTGAAACATACTGTTGACTTCTCCCGTATGGTGTTTACCACAATAACTCTTTTCGAGGAGTACTTTGGCTTTGGGAGTGGGAGTATCTCATGTTCCATAGTGACACACTGGTTCAAACTTCGACCAATGCGCTTCTCGGTAACAGACCCTTGCTGCCCGCGGGGTCATTCACAAACATTCTTTTATTCTCACCAGCTGAGGTGCCGCTTTTAAGCCTGCATGTCTGCACTGAGCGAGTTCAAGCAGCTAAAAAGTGCTACTTCTTGCCCGTAACAGCTGACAACGGCCCTCAGCAGATTCTGCTATCGTCATGAGCACGGGTTTTGCGACTACTGCAGCTGCCAAGAAAGGAGTGTAGTGCCATTGCAAAGCGCTTTTAGCGTAATTTGGACTCGAAAATAATTATGTTAATATCCTTATTGCGTCCTGATGGTGTTTCAGTGGGACCTCTCAGTGCTATCATTAGATGAAATTGTTTCCGAGTTTTCTCCAGAGAACATCTTTAAAATATGCACCGAAGGTGGCGCACTCCCTTCCATCAGAATCTCACGATACACTGAGGGTCGACAACTCGGCATAAGAGCTCTCAACTCAAGAAGTGGATATCATGTCCGTGTCGCTCTGCCAAGCCCCGCAGCGATGCATATTTCATTCTAGTAGGAGCCTGTTATGAGATGTCTGGAAAGTAAGCGGACTTTCAGGATCACTGCCTGAAGCCTCACACAAGTTTAGCCGGACTCAGCCAAGCCGACGTACAGATGGCCGTGATCAGGGCCTGATCAGGGCCTGTTTCCCCACTCAGGAGGCGGGCGGTGGTCGAGGGGAACATTTACACTCGTGCGAAACGGGAGAGTGGCAAAGTGTTCGGAGTCAAATATGTTTCCAAGCCACCAGTTCAAAGTGCCAGAAACAAATGGACATTCAAGTGTTCCCCACGGCCTTCAACTTTCTATGCCGTACTCAACCATCCCCTGGTGTGCCACGGTTGCTGCTCCTCCCAGTTGCCTGTCTGAAGCTGCAAGTAAACTATACAGGACAGGATTGGCGAATCCGAGAAGCAACAGCGCGGAAGCAGCATTTAGGACTACGTGCTTCTGAACCCCAAGGGGCTTACCTGGTTTAGGCCTGGTGTTCGGGAGCTTACCCGGTAGTTGAGATGAGGTGTTCTAATCTCATATCATCCGTCGGATCAAACATGAATGATACATAATCATGCATCTTTTGAAAAAGGTTAGGCAGCTCATGAGTCATTTCACTGCCACTAGTGGATTTTTAACCATTAAACAATGAACTATGTTATCAATTCGAATCGCTCGCAGATAAAGTATACGCTAAATGATGACACTGACACACGAGATGATGGCATACATAATATCGCGCAGAATCATGACACCACATCTGCTTAAATGACCTGAGCTTTGTACCAGTGGGACGGAGGAGTCTTTTACTGGAATTGGGGCATTTCACACCACGCCCGTAGATGTTTTAGAGCGAAATCGCTGTATGAACCTCGCTAGCCCTCTAACGCTAGGCCCGAAGCGGGAACACTGATAGTGGTATGCATAGTAACAGTCCAAACGCCTTTTTTAAATCAAAGCGAATGCGACGCATGCCGTCGCGAACCGTCCGTGGGCCACAAGCGATTGCAGCAGCCATATCAACACTCGGTGGCCATGACGCAACCGGGGTGCGAACCCGTGTTCCTCACGAGAGAATCGAAGGCGCTGATTGTCACTTGGCCGTGCCGTTTCCAGCCCAATTGCCTGTTCGCCCCAGGTAATTATGATCATGATCAAAACGACTCTTTTGGACTGGGGAAGGCGAATAGCCGGCTTGGCAATCCAGCGATCATCCCAGTATACTAGTGGCGTAGCGAGGATTTTTCCGGGGTGGGGAGCAAAAAGGGGCATGGACGCCGTTTCAGCGAAGGGGCTCCAACATTGTCACTATAAATGCCCTGTTTCTCCTCTCCTGGGGAGAAACAGGGCCTCAGGATCTTATTTTAAAGCCTCGAGGGCCCGTGTTTTTATGTTGAAGCCCTACGGGCATCTTAAACTATCAAAAGTACTAAGGGTCGTCGTTTACAGGGGTCCTTATTCACATTCCCCAGTGGGCCACCAACCCATCCCCCGCGCCCCCTATCATCCACCCCAACGAGAGGATGGGGACCCATGGCACCCCTTCCCTTGGCTACGGCACTACAGCATGCAGGCTGATTGAACTCAGCATCCAGCATTACATTATAGCATTACATTTCAGCCGGCAAAACGCTTGGATTTGGAAACGAATGGATTTTACTGCGAGCCTTCCCCCGGGATTAAGACACATTTGGAAGCGAGGAAGATGGGATCAAGTTTTTCCATTTCCTTTAATGCTTAACAGTCCATTTGGCGTCGTTGTCATATGGGATGTTTAAGATCCAGTGACAAGGATGGTATTCGACGTAGGTTACCAAGTATAAGGGGCTCCTTTCGAAGCCGTCCTGCCTGAAGGCACGCCCCTGTGCACGTGGTTTCCTATCACCATTACCGCCACCACCCACCATCCTCTGCATGGCCCGAATGCCCACGCACAAGAGATTGGTGATTTAAACCGTTGCTCTCCCATGAAATGGTGTTATACGGTCCGGTTATGGAACTCTTCTACGCGGAGCCGCGTGCCATACATCAGTACTGCCGTCTTACGGTGTTGGCGGAGCGCCATATTGAGCTCATATTTAGGGCCGAACGCTCTTTAACGCGACGTGCAGTGACCCCTTCATGACATAAGCATTCCTGGCTTATAGAGCATTTCCGGGTCACGACGGGATGCGTGACGCGTGAGCGGGTTACAATAGGTCTTACCTGCGTCCAAGGCTGTGGACTGAGGGATCGAAGCGTCCGATATCTGAAGATTTGAGCATGATTGAGGAATGCTCCAAATTCACACAGACCACCAGTGTAAGACGTGTTGATGATAGTGTCATAAGCTTGACAGCATTACTTGTAATAATGCGCATAACACAAGAGACAGCCGATCATTTCTGTTAAGCTAGCGTTTAGATGCGCGGAAACGTTTTGCTGGTGAAAGCACGCGCCAGGAAAACATCGAGTGAGTTGGGCGAAACGACAAGCCTGGGAAGAAAAGCGGATATCGATGCAATTCGCCCATGCTTCCAGATCGTACACTGCAAGTTTTTGGATCAAGTAAGTACGAATGTCAAGGCGCACAAAATATGGAGACTTCCCAAATACAATCTTCGGTGGTCTGGAATATCCCCCAAGACTACCCTACCGCGCAACGCGCACTGACTCCCCCCGCCTCCTCGACACCGCCAGTCAGTGTACGGACCCGCGCTCGTCCCCGACCGACGATTCCTGTCGGCGGCTGTCGGCGGTTGTTGGCGGCTGGTGCTGGAGTCCGTTCCCGCCACCCCGGGGCCAGACCCCGCAGAACGAGGCGCCAGTCAGGTCTGGGCCGCGCGCAGGTCCCCACTCCGGCTCTGGCCCGCCCCCATCGCACGTGGGGGTTGATACGGTAGCCCGTTGGTCTGCCGCGGCGCTGGCGGACCCCTCACGGGCTGACCGGCCTTTACCTGGTCAACCTCTGACCGTCACTTCGGTGGACCCCGACCGTCAGCCCGTCTCACCTCTGACCGCCAGCCCGGTTGACTCCCGACCGTCAGCCCGTCCCATCCCTAACCGCCAGCCCGGTTGACTCCCGACCGTCAGCCCGTCCCATCCCAGACCGTCTGCCCGGTTGACCCCCGACCGTCAGCCCGTCCCACCCCTGACCGTCTGCCCGGTTGACCCCCGACCGTCAGCCCGTTCCACCCCTGACCGTCTGCCCCGTTGACCCATGACCGTCTGCCCGGCCGACCCGTGACCCCTTCCGCCCGCCGGCAGGTGAAGCGCACCCTGCGCCACTTCTGGCGGCTGAAGGCGGCGGCGCGCCGCGGCGGGCGGCGCCGCTCGACGCGCACCGCCTCGCTCTTCGACAACCCGTCGCTGCTGGAGCTGGCGCGCCGCGAGACAGGTCTCGCCGTGCGGCTGCACGCCTCGCGCGACTCGCAGGTCACGCTGTCGTCGGGCCGGCGGGTCGTCTCGGTGGTGGAGCTGCCGCCGCCCGACGTCAATGGGACCTGCTTGTGACCGCACCTGCCGGATGTGCAGGAGATTTCGGTGTGACGCGCGACTCTGAGCGCGGACTCCGACTCCGGCACTCCGTTGGGCCTCGGAGCGCTGCCGCATCCGGGGGCAGGAGGGACTCGGAGTGGCGTCTGGATTCGGAGTGATGCGGAGTGGCGTCAGGATTCGGAGTGGTGCGGAGTGGCGTCAGAATTCGGAGTGGTGCGGAGTGGCGTCGGGATTCGGAGTGGTGCGGACTGGCGTCGGGATTCGGAGTGGTGCGGAGTTGCGTCGGGATTCGGAGTGGTGCAGAGTGGTGTCGGGATTCGGAGTGGTGCGGAGTGGTGTCGGCGCTCGGTGTGACGTCGGGACTCTGAGTGGCGTCGGACTCGGCACTATGCCACGCCTGAGGTCAGGAGGAACTCGGGGTGGCATTTGGACCCTGAGCGACGTCGGAACTCTGGATGACGTCTGAGTTCGGCGTGACGTTGAGACTCAGAGTGACGTCAGGGCGTGGTGGAGAGGGGGGGGGAGGGGCGGGGGACGTGACGGCCGCGTGCGCCGGTCGTTAGAAAGAAGGCCGGGAGGACGGGTAGTATTCGTGGTTACTGGCCCAGATCATAACGTAGTGTACGTCAGTGTCGTTTCCGTGTCGCCCTTTTTTTCCTCGTCCCCATATACATACGTGCGTGGAGGGCGCGAGCCGAGGAGGCCTGGGCGGGATGCCGGGACCTAGACGCGCGTCGCTCCAGCGCGCCGACCGGCGGCGGCCCGTCGGGCGGTGCCCCCAGACGAAGCAACTGAGCTCGCCGCCCGGCCCCGCCGCCGCCGGGATCGGCGGGCAGGGCCCGACGGCTGACGCTGGGTAGACGCTTAGGCTACGACCGCAGATACTTAGCTGCGAACGAACCAAATGCTATTTTGTACCAATACACAGATGTAACCACGTGTTACCCAAACGAGGCGTGTTGTGAGGACGTTACGGACCTGAGGTGGGACACATCGGAGGGGTTTTGGCGATAGCTTGCAACTCGCCTCACGGGATGGCGAAAGCACCGTTCACGTACACTTCAATCTTCTCACGACTCACGCGAACAGACCGCTTTCTTGTCGGGGTCCGTGCGTCCTCGATCGTCCCCGGACACGTGGAGCATCATTTTTCATTGAGGCACCACTAAAAATGCGATCCACCGGCAAAGTAATCGGGTGGGTGCTGACGAATTTGGGCTGTCTTTTCCGCTAGGAAGAACACGTATGCTCCTCAAACACTTCCAAGAATTGGCAGTTTCTCCCTCGTTCCCGTGTCCAACCCTGGAAATTTGGTGTGCAAGGTAAAACGGGATATGCAATTTTATTACATTTTATCTGCTCAAGTTTTATGTCGTTTCGGCTCAATCATTCGAGGGAAGTGAACTGCTTCGCGGATAGTTGTGAGCGAATCGTCTGCGGTTTCGCGTCATCCGACCATGTCTGCGAGCGAGATGCCGGGGCAGGTGCCCATGTAGTCAGCTAACTGACTGGCTGACCAAAACATCACGCCGTGCAGCAGAGGCGTCGCAGCATCGACATATGACCACAAAAGACGGCCTCGCTGCAAAATCGCCAGCAAAGTGACGTAACACTTCATCACCATGCGAAATCGCCAGCAAAGTGACGTAACACTTCATCACCATGTCTCATTGGTGCTGACAGAGCACCCCTCAGTCAGGGCGGCCAGTCTGAGTATCTTCCAAGTGTGTCGGTCCTCCAGACAGACCCTGCCTTGTCGAGCCCTCTCAGGTCAGTCGCCTTCTGACCCGCCGACCTTTAAGCCCCCGGGGATTTTGCCGCCTGTCGCCCTGATGTCTGCCCCGCCGCGCTCTGAAATATGGAGTGGCTTGAGCGCAACCCGTCCGGCGAAGCCGAGGCGGAGCCGGACGGCGTGAGCGGGCTCGGCCAGGCGCCTCGCGGTTCACTCGGGGGTGTGCCGTGCCACAAGCGGAGGCGGGCGGACGACGCGGCGTGGCGCAGCCGGTCGGCAGCAGCTGGCCATGGTGGTGGTCATGGTGCCGGCCATCCCACGGGTCATGGTGGTGGTCACGGTCACGGTGCCGGCTGTTCATGTGCGCAGGAAGTGCAGCTTCGAGTCGCACGAACGCGCTCGGTCTGCCGCTGACTCCGCGCGGAGCAGAAGCAGCTGGTGTGGCGGCCGTGAGGAAACGCGTGTCAGTGAGTTCGTTCCGTCTGCACCACGCGAGATTTGCTATGGGGAAGACGACGCATGTGGCTTTTTCGGGGCAACACGATGGTACGATGGAGGAGCCTGTCAGAACGTTGCGAACCTTCCGCCGAGACGCGTTAAAAGGACCTAAGTTCGCCGCTCTGATAGGTTTCTCGCCACGCCAGATAGCCCGGGTCGATGCATCAGGGAGATATCGCGATCCATATCGCATGAACGTGGGTGGCAGTCGCCGTATCGGACATGCTTGAGGGGCGTCCACGCCGTCTGTGACCTTTGTCACAAGAGGTGGTGCCCCACTCAAAGCGTGACCTCGTGACTCTGCCTGCCGTCAGCAAACACTGACGCCATTGCCCCTCCCACCTTTAGCACACACAAACTGTGCGCCGGCTTTTGTCACCGGAAAAGACACTTCCGGACGGCGAACTGTGCTAAACGCCACGATGCTCGAAGCACACGCTGTGAAAAAGCATGTTTAGCATGTTAAACCGCAATCACTAGTACATTGTTTCACGATCCTGGGTGGTCCCAGGTCCAGTAGTCACGCTGTCAGACGCTAGCTAAACATGACTGCGGCTAACAACCACAATTCGCAAGAGTTGGCTTGTCTTAAACTTGGTCTGTCTTCTTGGTACCGTTGAATGGTAAGGATGCCTCAGTAGCAATATACACTTAAGGTATGTGACTTGTCTTTAAGTGTATTTGCTTCTGATGCCACATTGCGGGGTCAACAGAGGTAAATCTAGTCTCCATCTTATGCTAGGTCATTACGGGTGGGAGGTTTTTCGTCATATTTATGTTGGAATATTTGGATGTCACGCGAGGGAGACTCCCATGCAATCTGAAGCACGCGTTTATGACATGAATTATCGGGGGGGAGGGGGGGACGTGCATGGCCTTACATATCAGGCCATCCCAGGTCAGCATCGCGCTAAGCTTTGCACCCACATGGCTGCAACGAACTCGGCATTGCGATGCCGGCCGGTGCCAAGTTAAGCCATAAATATTATACAGGCGTACCCCAAAGTTCTGACATGCCAACTCAAGCGGCATACCAACGATAGGACGCACTGTTGCTATGCGTTATTAATTCGCTAGTTGCCAAGATAGCTGAAGGAAAAGCTGCCAACCAGATAAACGGCACAATCACGTCTCTCGCTCCCATTTCTGTAGAAAAACCCGCGTACATTCTATGAATTGCAGTTTATTTTGAAGGGTGCACTTCCGCTACGGCCGCCGTGATCATGGCGCGAGTTCCACATCAGCGACGCCACGAGTCTGCGGTGCGGCACCAGCCCCCGCGGCGTGACGCGACGGCCGCCAGCTCCGGCGACCAGGGCCGGGACGGGGGCAGGGTCTGCTCCGTCCATCCACTGCCGTCCCGCAGGGGATCGCTGCCCCGGGGGGACCCCACGGCGGCCTCGGCGGCCTCGGCCCGGCCGGCAGGCGGTGGTGGGGCTGGGGGTCGGCCGCGAGCAGGCGGAGCTGTGAGAGCGGCCAGCCCGCCGGGGCGGTGACCAGCTCTGGGGGAGGCAAGTCGGTTACTTAACTCGGACCGTTATGTGCAAACCAGCTAAGAGAGCATGCGCGAGACTGCATGACGGAAGGGAAGCTCGGCCAGGGGTATCTGAGGTTGCAGCGGAGGCTAAGGCCTTTGGATATCAGCATACGACGCCAAAGACGGGTCGCAGGACGACTATACGAAGCAATATCATGGCAAGCGTCCTGACGAGACGACCCCACGAGGGAAGCATGGCGATACACAAACACAAATACGATTCGTCACGTGTCGGTTCCACGACAACAAAAGAAATATCCGAGAAAAGACAGGGATTGCAAACGCTTCATCTGACGACCAAATTTCAGCAAAAACAAACGAGTTCCACCAAATCGGATTCGAGCAACCTCGTAGCGCACCTTTCACCGAAATACCGGGCCGCACGACAGGGCACACGACGGAAACATACGCCTTTCGAGGGCGACAAACGTGTCGGAAACGACCATTTCACATATTGCCAGTCTTGAATCAGCGACATTCGTCCTGCCGCATGGCCCACGAGGGCACGATCGAAGAGCACCAAGGCGAGGCGGCTCGGGCGGGTGACCCGCGCGCCGGAGTCCCGTCCAACTGGATACAAACGACGCTACTTGGAACCCGCGCACCTCGGGCACGGCTGCATAGCTGGACAGCACCAGTCCTGCTACTCCACCACTTCTATAGACCCACAGAATAATGATCAACACGGGAGCAATCCGCGGTAAGGAACACTCGCTACCGTCTACCGATTCCCACTATGACGAAACACCACGTAAACACGCGTACATCACGGCGAAAAGAAACAGTTTTGAAAATCAAACAAAACAACGTCATTGACCTGTCCTCCTGGCCCGTGCCCTGGCCATATGGCATAGTTACATGACTAATGCCCGCCCGCTGAGCTCGCGCCATCTATCGGCGCGCAGCGAGTTCAGCTTCGGGGCGAGCTCGGCAGACGGCTCTCATTGGCGCGGCCCGGCCGGCGTGTCGATGGTCAGCTGGCCGTAGCCCATCAGCGCCGTCTCATCCCGCTCGTGCGGCTCGCAGAAGCCTGCCGTCTGCGGGGTGAACACGCCCAAACGCCGTTAACACGTCGTCGGAAACACACCCGCCTCTGATGGCGTTCGGGGAGTCAGAACAGAACAGAACGACAGAACCACAGCCGTTGCGCGATACGATGCTGATGTCACAAACTCCGCGCAAATGCTTCACGGCGTCTTTGTCTCAAATGCTCAATGGTGCAAGCAGGGTAAGGATTTGCTAAAGTGATGACGGAACGGCACAAACCGTAAGAATGCTGACGCCTGACTGATCAAGTCTTGGGGCTTTCAGGGGCTGCGACCACATGATTACATGCATCCCAACACGAAGGTCAGAACCCCAGAAAAGACCAGAACACATGCCGCAGAATACGCCAGCGCTCTTCAAAGTCCAGAGCAGGCCCATGACATCAACCGCAGCATCCCCAGCCACGCGCCCGGACCCCAACGACGAAAACCCCGCACTCGACAGCAGCCTCGAGCCGGCGGAGCCGCCCGCCAGCTCGCGGCACCCACCCGCTCTCGGCCGCCCGGCGCCGGGTGCCGGCGGCCAGCGGCGGCCAGCGGCGGCCAGCGGCGCCAGCCGCCAACTCGCGGCACCTTCCCACTCTCGGCCGCCCGGCGCCGGGCGCCGGCGGCCAGCGGCGCCGGCCGCCAACTCGCCGCACCCACCCGCTCTCGGCCGCTCGGCGCCGGCCGTCCGCTTACCAGTGGAAAGGTCAGCGTGGTGACGCGCTGCGGGTCGTCGACGATCGCCTGCAGCTTGGCGGCGATGACGATACGGTCGCGGCCGTCCACCAGGCCGGCGGCCACCAGCTCCTGCGCCACGCTGTCGGCCGTGTCTAGGCCGTACTCGTACTCGAACCGGATGTCGTTCAGCTCGCGCTGCTGGCTCCTGCGCGCGTGCCGGCGCGGGTCAGTGCCGGGCGTGGATGTCGAGAGATCGCGCCAAGGTCAGGGGAGGTCAGGGTGGGGTCAGAGAAGGTCAGGGCGGGTCAGGGGAGGTCAGGGCGCGGTCAGAGGTCAGGGCGGGTCAAGGGAGGTCAGGGCGGGGTCAGAGGTCAGGGTGGGCTCAGGGGAGGTCAGGGCGCGGTCAGAGGTCAGGGCGGGTCAAGGGAGGTCAGGGTGGGGTTAGAGGTCAGGGCGGGCTCAGGGGAGGTCAGCAAGACAGCTGAGTCGGGCCTCAGATCAAGGAGAGGGCAGGAATGAGGTGGAGGACAGGACGGGACACAGAGTGGAGTAACGGTGGGGTTCAAGGGAGAAGAATGGTATGTCCGGGGACGCCTGCCACGCACGGAGGGTCCGGCATGTGCATACAGTGTAGAGCTACTCCAGGAGCAAGTGCTCGTACACCCCGTGCCCCCTGGTACAACTTACAGCTTATAACAGCGAGCTGGTCTTCATCATGTTGGCATTTAAACCGGCTGGAACTAAGTTCTGCCACTTTCTGTTGTTTTAAATGGCTTAAAGCCGGTAAAATCCAGCATAAACTGGCAAGAACGAATTATAGTCACATTTCCATCACCTATATGTGCCATTACAATTCGGTCAGTGTTCCCTATTCAGTTGAAAGAATAGCAACAATACGACAATAAAACAGCATGATACGAAAATACGGTGTCCTTGCCATAACTGGTACATAAAATAACATATGAGTGTGATCCCTACGACCGGACCGAACATGGCTCGTGCGATGCGTGACTGCTGCTTGTTTGCCCGTTTTCATCACCACTAGTTTGTGCCAGCCGGTTTTAGCCGGCAAAAACTGGCTGGCAGGAGCTGCTTGCACCGGTCCCTGCCAACCCTAGGTCCGCACCAGGCTTAACACACAGCAACGTCTGCCAATAACGCCCAGTCGCACACTGAATCTATCACATCATTCTCTTGTTGCACCGCTGGTTCCCTGTCGAGCCCCGCGCGCTTCACGGGCGCCGAAATACAATTATCACTTCCAGTAGTGCTAGATCTTCTGATTCGCCAGAACGCTCAGCCTCACCCGCCGAGAGAACACTCAGTCTGACCCACCAGGACTTTCAGATGCCAGCAAAACCATCAGCCCCCAAACGGGGCCTCACCAGAATCTCAAACCCGCAGGCCACAGGCCGCCACTTCAAAACTTCATTCTGACACCCGTTAGAACACTAAGCCCAATGAGACAAACTTCTCCTAAAGCAGAAAAACAAACAACGCACCAGAAAATCCACACGATAGTTAAATCTTACCCAATATAAATACTTACTGAACCTTCCACTGTTACTGAACCATGTGCAAATTTTGACGCGACTTGGTAACAGCGAACGATGCAAAGACCTCGTGGCACACACATTAGCGCACCTGGGCCGCCCCCATTACGTGACATCTTAAAGATGCTACACTTTCTTTGGCGCTATTTCATGCCTTCTGGGCTATCCGGCCAAGTTTTACTCACATGCGCTTATGGCCCAGAGGCATCACACCTACGGCCGCACTACAACGGGCATTTGAAATGGAAATAGTGAGCACTAACACCGTGTGCTTTGAACTGGGCTGATTGCAACAACAAAAAAACGCGAGTGTTTTTGTTTGCAAGTGATTGCAAAACGAAACCCATCTTCTTTTTATCCTCTCAACACTAAATGTTTGCCCGCTGTCTGTGTACCGCAAAGTGCAGTGCGCGATGGTCAGTGTCGTTTCGTTTCCGCTCCTATTTCACTGCTCTCCATTTTCACCTACAGCACGCATGTCGGGTTTCAGCCGTCCAAACGTCGATCAGAGAACCTGGCCATCGATCGTCGCTATATAAACCCAACTTAAGCAGCACGAGCTCAGAGAACCGGCCGGCATGAGCCGGATTTGCAAGGCGATGGAAATACTGCCCCCTCCAGCACGCTGAGGTCATATGTTCCACGGCTCAGCTGCGACATGGCCACAGCCAAGCCTCAGAAACGTGTCCTGAAATATAAGCGGCCCGCGTGAAGACTAATCGAAAGCCATTCCCAGCGGCTCGCTGAATACCAGTTCCAAATGCAGCTATTCTAGAGAACATAGGACCGAGACAGACGCATTCTCACGACAGGAACGTAGTCCAGAAGCCGGGCCTGACCAGGCTGAGCCGAACTGTAGCCGGACGGCCGCGGCGGCCGCCCGGTTCGCCGGCCACAAACCTCATGCGCAGCACCAGGTCGATGCAGTTGCGCTCGGGCGCCGCCGCCGGTGTCTCCGCGCCGGCCGGGGCGGGCGCGGCGGCGGCGGCGGCGGCGGCAGCGGGGGCGGCCGGCGCAGTGGCAGGGGCGGCGGGGACAGCGGCGGGGGCGGCAGCGGCGGCGGAGGCGGGCGCCGGCGTGGCAGGTGCGCCGGCCGGGCCCGACTGGGGGTCGGTGGCAGGCTCGGCCGACCGGTTACCGCCGCTCGCCTGCGGAGAAGGCGCGCGGGCCACGGCACGGGTCACGACGCGGACCACGGCATGGTCACGACGCGGGCCATGGTGCTGGTCACGGGGCGGGCCACGGCATGGTCACGAACCGGCTGGAGCTGCGCGAACGTCATGACGCTGGCAAAACCGAAAGAAAGCGAGCAACGCAAACAACATCAACGGTACGAACGTGCGATGCATTTGACAATGTCCAAACCAATACGGCGGCGTGCACGGTGCCACCAATAAAGAAAGCACATGACTTCGGGGGCCGGTGCGCGCTAAGTAGTCATCGCCCCGTCGTGGTCTAGACAGAGACAAACTGAGTCAAACTTCGCAACACTTCCCGCTGCCACACTGAGTCCACCACAAAATGGTCCGATAAGAGCGCGCAGAACCACGCCGAAACGGGAGACCGAACACTGCCAGTCACGCCAACGGGCACACATAAACACATGACTGCAGAACAGACCCTGAATCTGACTCATGACTTCAGCCGCCGCAGCACGGCACACCCGTGGAGTGAGAACGGCACCGAACACAACGCTTGCGCCGCTAGCCGTCGGCGCTGTCGGCGCGCCTGCGCCGGTGGCGAAAAGGGTGTGAGTAAGCTCACCGGCAGCTCGTCGTCCGACTCGCTGGACTCGCCCGACGACCAGACCCAGTTGCCCTCTTCGGTCTTGTGGAAGCGGCCCGAGGAGCCGGGCGTGCGCACCTGTCGGCGCCGGCGGAGGTCAGCGCCGGTGTCACGAGGTAAGCGTCAGAGGTCGGCGCCGGTGTCGCAGGGTCGGGGCAAGAGGTCAGACGGCCCGTCAGAGACGCGGACCGCATGCGACCAGCGCACCGGACGCTCGCTGCCGCGCCGGCTGCGTGGCACGCACGCGGCGGCCCACGACGAGCCCAGCCATGGACGCCGGCTCACCTCTCTGCCGTGTGCTAACAGCTGGCCGCTACGGTACCGCGCTTCGGTTGTCACCTGATACGACCCAAGTGTTCTAGCATAACCGGCGTCTGAGAGCTTTTACCTCTGCCCATTGGAGCCCGCGCCCGACGGCGCTCAATGCAGAGGGCGGTCCTGCCCTCCGCAGGGCGGCACACGCCCGACAGCCGCTGAGAGTGGCGCGCGCGGCCCGCTCTCACCTTGGCAGAACGGTCGGTCGGCTTCGGTCCCGACTGGGTGAACATCTGCTGGATGAACTTTTTGTCCTTGGCCTTCTTGAAGAAGGGGTGCTTCAGGAGCTCCGAGGCGGTGGGTCTGCGCACGGGAACAGCGCGTGATGCCGAGACCGCCCCAAACGCAGCACGAGAAACTGCTGCCGCCACGCGACTATCCGGTCGTCGACGCATCATTAACGCAAGCGTTGCGTGGTTCGAGTGTCCTGTTCGCATGAAATCTGTTTTTAACGAGCGACGCTCGGGGTGATGAATACTGGACGTGAAGCAACACTTTTAAAGAATCGGATGATCCCGCTGGAAGTGTGACGATTCGCCAGTCGTAACGCGCGACACAGCTGCCACAAAGTGTCATCACGGGACCACGGTCAGGAGTCAAACTTAAAAGTCACGCACGTGTCACTGAATGCACAACACCCTGGCCTGTACCACGCTCCCCGTCATTCAGCCCATGCCAACTGTACACGCGCGACACCGGAATTGCGTGGCGACGTTCCCCACCGGCGGCGGGCGCCACCACCCCGCCGGCCCGCCCGCACCCACCGCCTGGCTGGGTCCTTCTGCAGGCAGTCGTTGACCAGCTTGCGGATGGTCTTGCCGTATGACTTGTACTGATCCTTGTCTTCGGCGGCCGAGTCGATGCCGGGCGGGTCGTTCTGCGACGGCGAACGAAAGGCGTCACCCGCCGACCACGCGGACCGTGGCGGCGAAAGCACTCTCCAACACGCCTCGCGAGCTCCCGGCGACGCACGCAATCTTGCAAACGATGCGCGTCACGGCAGTGTGGGCACGCTCAAGTTTGACTTCGGATGGCTGCTATGGATTTATTGTCATGGACAGCGGGGGCTGGACCCAACCACGCGGCTCTGAAGGGAAATGGTGCGCATCCGCAGGTATGCCAACGTGTTGTTTTCAATAGGTCAGCAGGGAGAGACCTGCACCCCAACAAAAGCGAGAAAAGCGTTCGTGGGCGTCCTTGAGAAACACGTTTCAAAACGCCGCGACGGCAACAGAGCATCGCTTATAGAGGTGGTCATCTCACCTGCAGCGTGAGCATGAGTACTTTCATGGGCGGATACTTGTGGTACGGGGCCGTGCCCGTGGCCAGCTCTATCACCGTGATCCCAAACGACCAGATATCCGCCTTGAAGTCGTAGCCCGTCACCTGGGCAGCGAGAACGTCATCACACCTCGGCCGGCCGCCAATGCTGCACGGCATAACCACGATCATCACCCGGCGACCTCTGACCCCCCCCCCCCCCCCCTCTCCGCCTCCAGAACATAAGATACGGGTTGATGACGTTTCTTGGAAGGTAACGGAAAGCAGCGCTGGAGCAACGAACTTGGCCCGCTTCGTTTGCAAGTAAAGGTCAGGCATGTTCAGTCAAGACAGGCACTAGAATACCGTTAGGTTAATACGAAAATCACTCACGCTATAGGACGCTGCGATAGGCATAGTGATTGTAGCCGCGTCGTCATATCTTTACCACCTGTCCTGCAAAAACGGCGTCCAAAACACACCATAGTCTGGGAGTTTTCAGCACCCAGACGAGCGGGCCCCACTCAAGAAGCCGCCCCTCCACCACACCTCGACATTGCTACGCCCACGTCACCACCCCGCGTGGTTCCCCACCGACGCGCCGGCCGACCCCGGCGGCGACCGCCGCCGCCGCCGCGCGCACCTGTTCCATGACCTCGGGCGCCATCCAGCACGGGGTGCCAACGAAGGTGTGGCGCGCCTTCTCTCGGCTGAGGTCGCCGCCCGTCGCCAGCCACGAGCTGACGCCGAAGTCGGCGATCTGGATGCTGCCGTCCTCCCCGATCAGGATGTTGCCCGCCTTGATGTCCCTGGAGCAGCAGCAGGCGGTGACGGTCCGGACATCTGCCTGAACTCTGTCTGACCTGACCTCTGCTCACGATCCTTCACCATCGGGTGGCCTCTTGCGGGGTCGCAAACAGGCCACGCCTACGGTCGCGAACGCTGGTCGAATATCTTTGAGTCTGTGCGTCACGAAGTCGTCACGAGGGTGGAGGTCAACACAAGGTCAGTGGGCCGTGAAGTGTTGCCACGCTCTTGGCGATAACCGCCAGGGTAGGGCTTGCGGTCTGAGATCACAGGGTCGCCACAAGGGTCAAAACAGCAGGTGAGTGTGGCACCATGAAACCACACTCAGGTCATCAATGGCGTGTGCCCGGGGTCACACCAGCTGCATCAGCTGGCCCTAAGTTGGGGTGCGATGATTGTCCACGCATGTATCGATGACAAACACATCTGTGCTAAATTCGCGGCGCGCCTTCGTTTTTTCATAACGATAACTTAATGGCGGATTATGAAGCCTGCAAAGGTCAAATGTATTCAGGAAACGCACAACTCAGCTCACAGCCGGGATTTTCTACCACGGCGGCGTCGAAAACAATGAGAAATCATGGCCCCACCTGTGTATTTGGCCATTGCTGTGGAAGTACTCCAGGCCCTTCAGCACCTCCTTCATGACAGTGGCTATAGTGGCCTCGCTAAGGACGCCATGCTTGCAGTCTTGCGTCTTCATGCGGTGCTTGATGACATCCAGCAGCGAGCCCCCTGTTGTGGTCACAGGCATGAATAGCTCATACTTTGCTGTCCAATTGAAAGGGTGGAGTGACACAATGGGCAACAGATCTGTTACAGCCACTGCTAAACTGCAAGACTACATTGCAGACATGGTATTCAAAATAATGCAAACAGGCATAGTTTCACGGCAGTTCAAAACTTCCCTCTAGATTACATGATGACAATTTTCAATAACATGAGCCATGCCACCAGCTCCACACAGCACACTTTTACCATGCAGTAAATCTCACTGAACAAATGTATGCCACAAACCAAACAAGTGAATACCAAACTTGTATTTGTGATACACATCACCATATTCAAACAAATGATATGTTCATGGTTACCAATTACTTACCACTTAGAAGCTTGAGTACTAGCCAAAGCTCTTCTTTAACAACAAAACTAGTAAAATATGACACTACATTGTCATGGTGGCATGATGACATGGCCTGAATTTCTTTCTGAAAAAGATGAAGAATTTCATTAACTTTGATGTAAAAGGGTTATTCACCAGCATGTCCCAAAAATCAAGCAAATATATACAATGCCATGATTGACCAGCCAGTAACATGCTAAATCACATGAGACCTGTAGCCACTTTTGAAGACAGAAACCCTCTGGATTTCACTATTTTTCAATTCCAAATCTAAAAGATCTTTGCTTTCATGGCAGATGAATCTAAGCAATGACCAGCACAGTTTTGCTGCATGCAACACCATTAACATCAACATACAGCAAAAAGGGCACCTTACCAACAGCTCATCCATACTCGTATTCCATTTCTCCAAGTTGATCCTTTTTATTGCACATTTCTCTTGCCGGGGTATGCAGAGTGCTTCATGCACAGCTGCTGTTGCACCAACACCTAGTGGTAGAAATGTGGTCAGACATGCTGTGGTGGTCTAAGTTCAGAACATGGACACAATGATATATCTGAGGGACCATAGATCTAAGGCATTCTGAATTTAATGGCATGCAAATATCTCATTTTTGCATGTGAATGAATCTTTACCTATTTCAGCATTTAGATCAGTAGGCATGACATATTAGTCAAATTTGAAGTCGGGATGGTATTAAGATAAATATGGTTCTGACAACAATCCTGACACCTGTGTATATGTGTACCTAAAATAATGTGGCTATGACATTCCAGCAGAGTTAAGACATTGCAGTGAGCAGATGCATATGCACAAGATCAAAAGTAATAAACATGCAGACACAAATCCCTCAAATGAAACACAGGTTCAGAGTAAGAACTTCTGAGCTTGCCACTCCAAGGACATTACTAGTGTTTTTAAGTGGGTGTAATAGTTCACATGCTTATTCAGATCACAGGCTCCTGTTTCAGCTTTTACATTCAAGGTCAATGCAATGCTAATGACAAATCTGGGTTTAGAATCAGGTTCATTGATTCTTACTGCACCTGCTATACACTATGCCAGTCAAGCTTCCAACAGCTGCTTTGAATCAGAATCAGATTAACCTCCACTTGAATCCACTCAAATTCATGATCCATTTCACAAAATCAGGATAAAGCATAGGCCTGAGAAACTGCAAACCTATCACAGTTCCTTGGATTGTCCTGAATTGGTACTTAGATGGCTGTTTAGTACAGGAAGTCAGTTTTTAAACTCATTGTTTGCTAATGAAGCCAGGTCAGTCATCAGGGAAACTTGCAAATACTGACTTTGATACTACTTGTTTCTTTGAACTGTTAAAAGAGGATATTATATGTGTATATCATGTGTTTAACTAAATCAGACTTGTACATCCTGACCAAAGTACAAGACTCCATGGTGATGACTGCTTTCAACCAAAATGTTAAAAGACAGGTGGCAGGCTAACAGAATATTATAGCACACAATAGGAAATGCCCACTTGTAAGGTATTACTGTCACATACAAACAAAAAACAACAAAAAATCATGCCACATTTATAGGTGTCATGGGCACCACATGCTTTATGCTAATGTTTTTTTCTGTATAAAAAAATGTAAGCTTTTTCAGCACCATATACTTGAGTATTGCATAGCTACTCTAACACAGCTCAGCATGCAGGTTTTGGTCAAGGTTTTAGGGAATAAAAAAACTCAGCTTTAATCAATTTGTTTACAGCAAAGCAGGGACATTGAGAAGCATGACCAAAAATAAAAGGAGCAATGAAAAAGTATCCTAGCGTGCTAAAATCATTATATCAAATAGCCGGTAAATGAAACAAAAGCGCCAGCTTCACTGCCATGTCAGAAAATGCACATTTCGGCAGTTTGCAGGCCAGAAGTAAAACACAACATGCATAGAAATATTCTATAGGTGTACACACACGATGACGTTCGGCATTACTTACCTATAACGGGACCTAATTCGTATTCATCCTTGTTGTTTGGCCAGCCCGGCTGAGCGATTGCCGTGTCTGCCATCTTGTGGGCGAGCAAGTGAGCTACAACTCGAGATGCGCGCCGCGGGTATGTCGCGAAGCCCGGAAGCGCCCCCGCATCCCCTGCGGACGACCGCCGCCTCATGGTCGAAAACGGTGATGACGCCGTAGGCGACTGGCTGGAAGGGAAGCAAGTATCAGCATCAGTCAGGAAAGTTAGCATCAGTCAAACAGATGTGATACCAATGGCCGAATCATAGCGTAACAGCGAGGTATATATTATCATTTGTGACATTTCTGTTTTTTACTTGCAACAAGAGTGCCGAATAGAACCAGTTGGAACGTGCGTCGCTACGACGTCTTACGGGAATTTAAACCATGACACACAGTTTGTCGTTATCAAGGCCTTATACTAGATGCCCTCGGAAATAATGTAAGCGCAGCGTTAGCCTAGGCCCCAGGGACGTCGCCAGCATCAACAACATTTATCGCCCCATATAGATGGCAGGGGCATGGCAGCAGTCTGCAAGTATACGCGGCACGACTACCAAGTGCAGCCAATGTCGGTAAAAATCGTCGACGCTGCATTAGCACTCCGTGGGACCGACTGGTACCTACCCAGTCTCAGCACGTGGTGCGAAGCTACTTTTGGGCGAATTCCTGGCCGCACGAACTGCCAGCGTCTGCCTAACGACGCCTAAAAAAATCCTCGCGCTGGGTCGAATTTCGGAAGCACGTACAAAGGTCACACCCTTTGGGGGTCGTAAGCCTGCGACGGGGGACAAAGAGTCCAGCGACCCATAGCGGGCAGGGTAACAAGGGGCCAGTGGGGTCCGATCCGGTGGTCAGCGGAATGTTGACCTACGACCGATACGACGCTGGACACGCTGCCCGCCGCCATGTTGAAAAGGGAATGTGCAATGTGCGGCATTCTGGTAGCCGTTGAAGCTGGAGATCTCATAAACACGGACGTGAGGGTCGCGTTGGATGTACAGGACATCTCTTGATGACAGATGAATTGGTGATGTGATGATTCGCTTGATTTATCACGTGGGCTATAATTGGCAGCTGGCTAAGCGGGATAAGTTTACTGGAAACCAAGGGACGTGAAAGGCTCACTGTGATGGAACCTGCCCGTGAGCATCAAATCATGTACTCTTCTACAAATCATGAGCTCTTCGCGGCTTTGAAAAATACGTTAATTTAGGAAAAATTCATGATTGGACTGGACTGTATCGGGAATCCCCAAAAGACATGAACTGAGACTGCACTGAATTCAAGGCTTGGCTACTTCAAGTGTATTGGAACAGGGTGGAGCGTTTCAAGTCAAATTACAAAGTAGCTGATGTCCTCGTGCATGCCACAAGTGTTTATTAGTTTACGTCATCATGAATTGATGGTGATGAAGCAATGCATGCATGAATTTACATCAGGATAAATTGAATTTAACGTTTGACATGGAGATGAACTGAGAGTGGGCCTCACTTAAATAGAGGTTTCAAACGGGATGCGGTCCGAAAATTCAGTACACAGACAGTTCAGCAACCACTAACAAACAACACTGTGGCGCTCCCACATGATAAGCCCGTGCCCAACGCCTGCTCATCGGGCGCTGTAACCGGCGTAGCCAATTGGCCGCGTGAAAGCTAGGGACGATGACTTCGGCTGTTGTTTGCCAGGGCGGTACACGGAGCGGGAAGTCGAGAGAGGGTTCCCGAGCGGACATCCTCAAAAATATGAGCGGAGGCTGCGGGTCGCCTCGGCGGTTTTCCGTTCGGTGTGCTTTTCGTGTGAGTGGCTACCACGAACTAACGTATTTTTGTTTGTGCTTGTGCCCATTTCTTTAAGCGTCAGTAAGACAGCCACACTCGGCAAGAATCGGGTTAAATAGGACTAACGTGACAGACATAATTAGTATGGAGATCTGTACAGGCAGCCAAATCAGGCAAAGAGGAAAGGATGTAATCTTGTTTTGTTTTGTTTCGATCTTGTTTTGAAACGCAAATGAGATACAATGGCAAGGCATCGATTTGCGACGACTCAACGCTGTTAAGACATGAGACTGAGTTGAAGCCCAGCTGTCTGCAGTGAAGCATCTGTGTACCGCGCAAGTCGTTAAGTGAAAAAACCATGCTCAAATGAATGGCTAGAAATCCCTGGATTACTACTTGCCCTGCAGTAGCGCAGGCAGAGAGAGGGGGGGGGGGGGCACAGGGGCCCGTTTCCCTTTTACGTTCCAATGGGCCCTTTAGGCTCCTTAAGACTTATGCTCTAGGACCAGATTTGAGGATCCAAAGGGCCAGAAAGGCCGACCGGAGGAGATATTCAGGGGCCCCGGTTCGTAGGGCAGCAGGGTCGGGCAAGCTAATATCAGCCAGAGCGCCTTGCGCGCTGATCAGGGGCCCACTGAGTTCATAAGGACCTACCTGTCGGTTAGACACCCCCAACAATGCACAGTCGGCTCCGTGGCGGCATAGGGCGGGGGCCTATTTCCCATGCAGGGACAAGACCGGAAATAGCGACTTACCTTGGTCGGGACCCCAGCGTCTGTCAGGACCCTACAACGCCAAACGGGACCCTGTGTTGATAAGGGGCCCGAGTCGGTCAGAGGCATGGTTCGAGGAGACCTGGAGAGCCTGGAGGACCCACCGGGTCCGACGATCAAGGGCCCGATTGGACAGTCTAAGGGCACGAAGGTCTGGTTGGAGTTTTATCCAGGGGCCCTCAAACAACAGTCCGAGGGCTCTTTGCGCCGAGGGACCCCCGTGTCGATATGGGCCTATATGAAGGTCAGGCACCACCAGCACCGTACAGTCGGCTCCGTGTCGGTATGGGCCTAAGGGCCCACTTCCCAATTGGCTGCAAAGCCGGGTCAGCGATTTACGCTGGCCAAGGCTCTGTATCTTTAAGGACTGAGCGCCTAACAGAGGGCCCGATGTTCACAAGAGGCCCGAGTCGACCAAAAGCGGTGCTCAATGAGGCCCGAAGAAGGACCCCGGGCGCCCCACCGAAACCGACGATCAAGAGCCTGGTTGGAAGGCATAAGCGCCCGGACTGGCTACAGGTCACAAAGAATCGCGGCCCGTAGGGTCGTGACATGAAATATTCCTGTCATTCTGAACCCGGAGGCCCATTTCCAAACAAGAGCAAGACCGGAGGACACGATTTTCACTGGTCGGGACCAGTGCGACAATGCAGAGCTCCTGTATCAGTCAGGGGTAAACAGTGCCTAGCAGGGGGTTTTGTGCCAACAAGGGGCCTCGAGTCGGGAAGGGGAACATTCGCTCAACACGGACGGGGACGGAATCCCGAAATACAGAGGTCCTGTTGCATTGGTCGGGGCCCCTGACAATGAAAGAAAACCTGAGAACTCATGGTGAGTGATCACATTAAGACAATGGAAGGGTCCTGCGCCAGCCATGGCCCCCAGTACCAAAGGTTTGGTCCTCCAACCCAATTCCAGCAGGGGCCCGTTAAGCAGAGCTGAAGTTTACGTGACAATTATTGAACCACCTGCGACAATCAGGTATGTTGTTGTGTCAATGAGGGTCCTGCGTCCATCCGGGGCCAACTGCGCAGGTCACAAGGCCTCTCTCGTGAGAAAGGGGAACAACGCGTTGTGATACATCCTTCTACGGACCCCCGGATCCACCAGGGGGTCCCGCCCCGAGTTGCCAGAATAACAGCCGGAAGACACCCCGTGGTGGAGTGGAATTGCCCTTTAGTCCCTGACCGGGGACAGTGATGCATCCCTAGCGTTCTACTCAAGGGGGGCCTTGCGCGGAAAGAAATAAGGGTCTCCATGCGGCGAGCGTCGTGCGCGCGAGACGGACCGTCGTAAAATGACGGTTTCGGATGTTGTTCAAATTCAATTCATACCTTTGAGAGATGAGACTGGGCGTATCTTTTTCCAACTTTCAGGATGACCTCTGAATGAAGTAACAGTTACAGCAACACGAAAAACAGGCATTCTGCCTTCATTCTATCAGTATTATCACCAGATTCCAGCACCATTTCGCGGTGTTGCAAAGGCCAATGCGTTATTATCATCAATCTAAAAGTCGCGCAAGTAAAAAACACGCCTTCTAAATGCAATATTTTTCGGTCCTAAAGCGTTCAAATATCCTTCGTTCAGAAGCATCGTCATTTCCACCCAGCCCCTAGCCACGGCTCAATGTTGGCCGCCGGACTGACGCTGCGCGGCCCATGGAGACTGCAACGTTTGGTGCCAAGACTAAGATTTGTTTCTAAGATTTGCGAGCGCGCATGCTCAAAAGTAAGTTTCAGAAGTTGTGGCACCTATCGATTCTGATCTAATCTTGAGTATTACCTAGCCAACGCGACTTGGGCATGTGTAAAGCAAGTTGCCATGTCATTTAGATCTACAAACTACATTCGCGGGATCCTCAGTGTGTCTGAAGAACCCATATAAAGATTGTGACTAAGCTTCGGAGTTCTATCGCATTAGAACGAGTTCACTGCTTTATTTTATAGTGGAGGGCACTGGCAATTAATACCATGCATTGACAGAATTGATCTCACGGCGCCCCCTGGCTACTCTTCTAGTTAAAGAAGGCTAAAGTAAAAATGCAAAAAATATCCTTTTTAAGAAACGAGCCATTTACGGTGATTTTTGTTGCGGGGGGGGCCTTTCGCTATCAGTGGGCCCTTTTTCAAACCTGCGCCCCCCTTTCCAGTGCTCTAGTCGCGCGCCCGGCGTCCTGGCGGCGCGTAGAAAGGGCACGACATGAATGATGACACCAATGTTGACATCACGTATTGCAATACGGTACCCTGCCTCTTGTTATCGGTAACGAAAACGTGACTCCCTTCGTTTGCTTGGTGCATGGATCCAGTCACTCGCAAGCTGCTCAGTGGTCCAGCTTAGAAGAAAAGGCCCTAGTAACCTTAAAGGCCCTAGGAACCCTAGTAATTGTTCTCGGAGCGCAGGGAATGTATCACGGGCCGCCGAAAACATCGATGAAGGCAACCGACACGAAATCGAGGAAACTGAGCCCATAAAAAATAATTAGTAAAATTGGATCGCCTGGCTTTGGAACCTTTGGAGCCACATTTGAACCAGCTGGTGGCAAGGTGCAATGGGCTATTATTCTCCCTGAGCCATTTCAGACTGTCCCACGTTGTTTTGCCGGCACTTGAGAACGGTCTGGTGAC